TAAACGAGCCGAACACGAACAACAGTTTGTTTGCTTGTGTTCGGCTCAAAATGGCTCAAAAAAAATTATATAACTTTTTATATAACAATATATTACATATATTATTTATATAATAATATATTATATATATTTATGTCTTAGTTTAAATCATAACACCTCATGTGATAATGTGGTTAGTGTCTTTTTTTTGTATAAATTTAATCCAGGTTCGAATCTCACACTTTACATCTATTTTTTTCAATTTTAGTTTAACGAGCCAATTTCGAGCCGAACATGAACACACTGTTCATGAGCCGATTTCGAACACGAGCCGATTTCGAACACGAGCTATTTCGAACGAGCCAAACACGAGCCAAGCCTGAGCTCGCTCAAGCTCGGCTCGTTTACAACCCTACTTGTATGTGTCTCTCAATCTAAATTATATATTAAATTTATGGCTTAAAATATGTGCAAGTCTTTAAAGTTCATAAAACTCTTTAAGATATTCAAACATGTGAAATTTAAAACCTACATTTGCTCCACCGAAATTAAAAATGTATTTTAAATTGAATCGTCTAAGAATGTTGAGTTGGTTAAAATAAAATCTTTTCACTTAAATCGATCATGTTTTTAAAAAGTAAAAAAAAAAATTTTAAAGGATATGCACCTATTTTAAAATTATAAAATCTCTATGATAGAAATCAAACTCGAGACAATTAAGTTATGGAAGCTCTCAAATGGGCAGCCTTGTTTATAGAACAAGGTTTTAAATCTCACCCAACTAGTTTGATACCCTACTAATAAAAACTGGAGTTAACAAGTCTAATAAGTTTCAATAATTTTCAAAATACAAATATAATAATTTGCAAGTTCAAATCACCTAGTCCAATACTCCTTATTAGAGTCTATAGGATTAATATGCTAAATATATCAAAATTGATCAATTTTAAATGAATTCAAATAAAAATGCTTTAAACATCCAAATCACTGATGATGGTCATGTTGATTGAATATTTCAACTGACGAGTTCAATTTTTAAAATCAAGATTTTCAAAATAATTAACTAAAAAAATTAAAGCAAATCACATTCACACTCCGCAAGTTTGTCGGGGGCGACAAACTTTTGATTGAATTCAGCTCACAAAAAAAAAGCTAATATCACATTGAGTGTATCATTATATTCATACTCAAAGTAATTTCATGTTAGCAAGGACATGACTGAAGTCCTTTGTCCGCGTGATATTTCTCAAAAGTTCTATAAAATAACAGTTACAGCCAGAGCCCGTTGACCAATGGTCGCCGCCAAAAGACACCATTATATTATGATCATGGCCGCAACCGGTAAATTTATCTCTTTAGACAAAAATTTACTGACCAGTGTTCGCCGCCAAAAGACACCATTATATTATGGTCATGGTCGCAACCGGTAATTTTATCTCCTTAGACAAAAATTTTCCCCGGATCTATAAGGATCTCTTTGACAAAGCAACTCATGATTGCTGACAAAAATACTTCAGTCAAGTTGAGTACACTACCTCTAACTAAGTAGATTGTGAACCACGACAACCTGGAACAACGAAACCATGGGACCATTATCGAGTTCATCATCATTTCCTCCACCATCTACTTTAAGGTTAAGTAATAAATTTTACAATTTAAATTGCATGTTTGCTACTACTATATGTTAAATATTCAACTCTAAAAGACTAGTATTAATCGAAAATGCTCTCCTGGTATTAAAAGGCATAACTAACCAAAGAGACAGGTGCCTATGTGAAACCTCGAACCCCAAATCAAAAAGTCCAAGTAAAATGAGGGTGAAATCTCTGAGCAGTGTCTTATCTACAATCCAATCTTCTTTCTAAAATTATGATCCTCAAAGTTCTCTGAAAAACAAACCCAAAAAATAGATTTCGGGGCATCAAAATTTTTGAATCCCAAAGTGGCAATGACTTAAAAGATGGGGCTAAAGAAGCATGAGACTAGTGTCGACAATGAAGCCATGCTTGTCGATACAAAGAATGGTAAGGAATATCACAAGGTGCCATAATGACAACATATGACAAAACGAATGAGTTGACACGAGGAGGGACAAAGCAGGACTCGTGATGCAAAAAATGTATGTGCAGGCTCGAGTGTAAAAGATGTTGGTGAGCAATATTATCATCTAAGAGGACAGGTAATAATTAGGTGAAGAATTAAAAGTATAGATGGCAGCGAAGGCTTATTCATGGAGATTTTATTTGATTTTAGACTTTTAACTGTGATACCAAATTGAAGTAGTCAAAGAATGAAGATCAAGAGTAGAAGGAAAACCAAAATTATTCTATTGAAAACTAACTTGATGAAAAGAATCTCATATTTAAAACCCTTCTTTAATAATTTCTCAAACAACACTTCAATTTTTTCCTTGGTCCTCAAATTTAGCAAAGTGGCAAAGACTTCATTATATTCGCCTCTAATATAACTAACTTGATGAAAATACCTAGATCTCTTATCAATTTCCTTACATATTTTACATTACATCATTTTTCTCCTTTCTTAGTAGCATACTAACATGCCTATCATATAAATAATAAAAAGTTACAGCTTTTGATAATTTAAAAGAGTCATATCCCTCATATAGACGTCCAAAGATTACCCATCTTCTCATGAAAAATTTGCTAAAATCATTAATACAAATCTTGTTCTCATGGAATTACATGACCTTTCGTTTGACAGACATATTTCAAGGGTATTCTAAAATTACATTCAATCATCTCATTAGAGAGTTTACTGTAGAACAAGAATCATGAGCCAATGAGATCAGCATGCTTAATATATGCACTCATATCTCAGTGAAAATAGATTGAATGATGTCCAAAACAGAGTGCTAAATTAGCAATTTACCTCTAGTGGTCTTTTTGAATCGTCCAAACCAGTAAATGCATTTGTGCATTATCTATTTGATTAAACCTAGAGATTTAAGAGATAAATGCCGGCCTTAAATTTTAGCCATATGCACGTACTGCATTGATCTTGTTTCAAATGAAAGAACATCGTGCAGTCAGTGATTAAAAAATAGACATTTTCAAGTTTCAATCGTTTCTTCTTCACAATTTATTTATTGATTATTACTTTTCAAAGGACATCCAAAACTTTGAATGACAATCTTGCACCCTCCACCACCTGTCAAACCAGCAATGCACCTAGCAGCCCACGAGTCCAGTTGGTATCTTGTTTTTTAAAGCAACAACGACCAAAACTATTAGAATAAGTTTTACATGGGCCTTCTCAATACGTACCGGCAAGCCTAGTGTTGTGCACACCTAGATGCTGCCAAGTACTAGGGAATTAACATGCTGAAATAATACTTACTGAATTATTACCAAAATATCAAAGAAGAGAAAAGGGACAATAAAAATAAACAATGCGTAGCTTTACCTGTCAAGACATAATTCAAACCTTCAGCGGTAGAAGTATCTGCTGTTTCAGCAATTCGATTAAGATCTTTCTGCAATGAACGAGCCATGCCCAATAAGCCAACCTGAGTAAATCGACCAAATGAGAAAGATTTTGGACTACTGACATAAAATAAGAGAAAATGTGATCAAGAAACAAATCAACAAATTTATAAGTATTCCAAAGCCGGTTTTCCTTCTTCCATTGTTGGATAATGTACAAATAAAGCTTGCAAATCTAAGAACACGGAACAACCTATAC